CCTTTGATCCTTATAAGAGCTCTGAGTTAATTATTAGTATACCCCTTTACAGATCAGAAAATGGAGGCTCAGCAAGATTAAGTATCTTTCTAAAAGTCAGTTATTATGATTTCAATTGTAATAAGGCTCTTCGTGAACAGAGAAAGCTAAAATTCTTCTTATCCAGACAACTTATTATATGGACAGATATTTTAAAGTGCAATTTCTGTGGATAAGAGTGTTCTTCAAAGATGACGAAGCTATAATTCTTGGTTTTAGTTCTAACACTTTTATAACTATGTATATATGGCAAATGACTGTCCACCAGGTGTCAGGGTAGGGTTTTATCAAAACCAGAGATCTTTTTGGAGTTTTTATCTGTGATTCCAAGCCATAATATATCTGTATATAGAATACTGGAAAAAGTTCTTTGTAACAACAGTGAGCTAAAAGTGACACTATGTTGTAGAATGGGGAATACTCAAAAGCAATAGAACACCTTAAAAAGACTACTGGATTTGGAGCTAAGACACTTGGATTCTAGTAACTATTCAAATACTAATTTGACTATTTATTATTTAAATACTATTTTTACTATTAACTATTCAAATGCAAATTAACTATTTTTTTTAACATTTCTTTTTTTTTCTTTTTTAAAGATTTTTATTGGGGAATTGGGAGAAGGGGAACAGATAAGTTGCTGTCCTTTTGTTCTCCAGTCTAGTTGTGGAGGACGTTGCTTCACTGGCCCAAGTTGGCACCATCATTGCGCTCTTCCCGGGCGAGGCAGATCAGTTGCCCGCTTCTGGACGGCCACTCACAGCGGCTGCTGGCTACACACGGTAGCCCATGGCAACCCACTGCAGCAGGGGCTGCAGCCTACGCCGTCGCCGGCGACTCATGGCAGCCCAGCTCCAGGTTGAGCTGTTGTTCAGTATCTTAGCTGTAGAGGGCAGTGTCACTGGCCCTCATATGTGGGATCCGAACTGGGGCCCTCTGGTGTCCCAAGCCTGCTCTTAACAAATGTGCCACTCGGCCAGCCCATAACTATTTTAATATTAATGTTAGTTCTAGTAAATATCCAAATATTTGTGTTACCCTGCTAAGCCCCTTTCATTCTGTGGGTTTAATTTTCCTCATTAATAAAATAAGACAATTTGAACTGGATGAGCTTTAATGCCCTTCCAGTTCTAACTTGCTTGACTTTAGGGACATGGCTCCTCTCAACCCCTGCCCATGGTTAATACTACCAGCACTAACACTGACATCATTAATGTAGCCACCAACATCTCAACCCACCGGCTGATTTACACTTTACAAAGCATTATTATATCTATAATTACTGTTAACCATCATTAAAGGTATACATTGTAAATAATAAAGTCAGACGATGTCATCCCCATTTTAAAGTCAAGAAGCTGAGACTCAAAAAAGTGGCTTAATTTACCTGAATACATAAGGTTAGCAAATGACAGAGTGAGGAGAGTGGAAGCTAGGCCTCTGGCATCAAAGTGACTGCCCTTTTTCTAGTACAACTCTGCAAAGTTTTACCCTTTCATTTTCCCCCTCTTTTAACCCCTCATCATTAAGTCACTAATACCACTAAGTGAACATGTTTATCGAATTTGCTTCTCCTATTTTCTTTGATGATAGTGCCAGTATGTGGGCTTGTCATTTTGGGATAAAGGAAAATTAAATTAGGAAAGGTTGCTGGTATGGGAACCCTTCACTCTCCCTAGAGGACAAACTTGTCAGGCCATTGGGAACATATTTTGCTTTGCCTTATCTTACCTTTTTCTCCTTCTTTCAACCACAAAAGTCTCACATGAATTACCCAAGCCAGTCTGACCCCCATTAACATGGTGTCCTTCATTCAATCACTTGCAACCATGGCCAAAGTAGAGCAACTCAAATTTGGAACTCTGCTATTTCCTGAATTAATTAAATTCAACTCTAAATAACCCATGAAGATTTGGATATATTCTGCATGTCTACACATTTTTTTCTATACATTAGAAGAAGTGAAAATTATTTTTATCCTTAAAATTAGTTAAAAACATTAGACTATTCACAAACCAACCAAGTTTGAATTGAATTCACATGGATGAACCTTTATAAATCATTTAAAAAACAGGCCTAATTATTATAGATGTAATTTTTGCAGTTGGAGCAGCATTTTGGGGGTGGGAAATATCATGTTTTTTGGGCAGACCTTGGATCATATCTTGACCTAGTTATCAGCTGTCTAGCCTGAAACAACTCACTTCATATCTCTGGGATTCAGTTTCCACATTTATAAAATTAAGATCACAGTAACTGCAACATAGATTGTTGTGAAGATTAAATGGAAAATGTATAAAAAAGTACCAATTTTTACACCTGGTACATAGTAGACATTGAATAAATGTCAGTTAATTTCCCATTTACTTGTACAAACAGTAATCTCCATGGGCCTTTGGTTGAATTCTGGACTTTTCTGGGTTCATAAAATCCCCCCAGTGTATAGCTGTGAGAGATGGCTAGCAGGACTAAAGCAATAATTCTTACAGTGGAAGGGTGGAAAACATGTGTTACTTGAAAAAAAGAATATTCCTTATTGTAGCCAATATATTTGAAATTCAAAACCATTCTCCCATAGTACAAATTGGCGAAAGTACAGATTTTCAAAATATTTTTGACTGTTGGGCATACAGTACTTGAAAAATATTAATGTGATGGGGTAGGCTTTTCTAGGAGTCCAGGATCTGGTCCCAGGGAGGCAAGTCTGCAATAATCTTATAGTGATAGTTCTAAAATGTTTTTTTAAAGAGAACCATGGTTTTAAAAGATTGAGAAATATTGATTGAGTGACATTGTCATTGTGGAAGTCAGATTTCATAATTATTTCCCTTGTTTGTTGTTTGTGTTTTATTATTTGAAAACAAAATAGTAAATTATTTGTGAAACACTTGCCTGTGGTCTAAAAAAATGAGGCTCTCATGATAACATTATTCTGAAAGAAATATAATGGCCCTTGGCAAAGGTTACTGGTTTCCTTTTGAGATATGGACTATATTTCCAGAAGGTCCCCTTCGGTTAGATTTCCCTACTATGGTTCCATTATATACAACTGCATGATACATAACTCTTCTCACACACTTAAGAGCCAAGAGTCAAATCATTGTATTGCTAGGAAGGAAATTAAAGACCATTTATTCCAAGCTTTCCCCTTATTATAGGTTAGAATATTGAGAGCCAGAAAAATAAAGCAACTTGCTTAAAGCCACACATTGAGTCATTGACAGGACTTAAGCTTTACTTTCTGTGTATTGATCCATCTACTTCATCACTCTCTCTGTGATGCATGTGAACCAAACTAGATGAAACATTCCCTGTAAAATCCTTGACCTGGAGCAAAGTGGACTTTTGACTAAATGTTTTTAAATAAATTGTAGACTACCTGCCACTCATTGCCTTGATTGCTATAACTCTTAGAAAGGGTGGTTTCACAGGAGACAGCTCTGTTCTCTTTGCTATAGCCATGACAGGACGCAATAGACTTCCCTGCCTCTTAGGACACCAATTGAGTTATGAAGAGCCATCCTCAACCACCCAGAGTGTGCTAATTGGATACCTTATTCTCTACCACTTCCAGGATATAAGCAGACTCTACAACTTGAAATCAATATCTTTCCCAGTTGAGCCCTCAAGTGATCTGCTTTTGACCAAAGAAGGACCTGTGTTCAACAGGAACCATTGCAAAGACAATTACCCTGAATGCATGACCTGATTATTTGTATACTTCAGGCCATTTCCTTCCTCAGTATATCAGCATAACACATTTTTTTTAGCAGTGAATACTTTTACAATTGCTAAGAGATAAATGCCTCTATTAATGGAAATGGTCATGTCTCCCCACATCTACTTGAACAATAAAAATAAAAATACCCCCACTTGCAGAATCCTTGGGACTGAGACTACTCCCCCTGAAAAGTACAGCAAAACTTGTTATCATTCTATACAAAATGATCCTGGTACCAACTGTCATGGCACAGTCCACCTTTAAGGACTCCCCAACTGGAAGTTTCCTTTTGACTCAGTCATCTCGGCTCCAAAGCAGAGCGGCTGCTAACACTCAGAGTAATGAGAACAATAATCAGTGACAGATAGGTACCTACACTTAGGGGCTCTGCTATCCAGTAGGTCTAAACTTGGGTCAAAAATCACCTTTCAAAGGATCAAGAAAGGCCTCTGAACAGCCTCTGAAATCATTTTACTAGAGCTTACCATCTAGGATATTTTCTTCTTTCCTAATCTAAAATCCAACATAATTATAAATACATTTACAGTATTGTCTGCTATATACAGGCTACTATAGGGAAAAGGAAATGATTTAGAAAACACAGGTTCTAGTTCCAGCTCTACCACTAACTAGCTGTGTGATCCTAAGTGTCTTAACTGGCCCTCAGTTTTCACATCTGTGTTGTGAGGGATTTGAACTTAAAGAGCTCTTTCAGCTCCAAAATCTATGATCTGACATTCTTTCCTTCTCTGTTGATAGAACTTACTATCTATTGCTGTATCTGTGAAAGCTAAACTTACCAAAGCAAGGAGCTCATACATAAAAATTTGTCTTCATTATGCAGGTAGATAAATAATATAGAGCAGAAATTCAAATCCTCTTTTTCTAGTTGAATATGTCAAGTTGTTCCAGTTAGTCTCAGGAACACACTCTTACCACTTTGTGTAATCCTCCCAAGATGATGAAGAAACAAAGAGCCCTCAGCAAAGAGTGAACTGTATCACAGACTCCATCCTCCTGTGTTATGGTTGGGACTGATAACATTAACCCTAAATTTGTACTCTAGTCAGACTCAAGGAAAATCACCATCACTCCTTCTATAAGATGTCTGAATTGAGGAACCAGGGACCATTTTCAAGTTGGACACTGGCCCCACATCTGCCACTGTCCTACACATTCATACTCCCACTGATCTTCCCACATGAAACCACCAATTCCCAGATACTGGGCTGTAACTTACCCTGGAGCCTTGCTGGAATTAGCACTCTTGTCTCTTTGCAGGGAGCTGGGGGTGAAAAAGCCTAACTCAGGGTGTTACGGATCCTGCTGATAACTGACAAATTTGTTGTTGAAAGAGGAAGTTGAGTGCATTTGGTGTCTCACCACAGAAACCTTATTTGCACAGACTGAAGGTAAGTCCCTTGAGCAGATGACGCTACTCAAGTTTATTTCATTTTTATTTCATTGGTGCAGAGAAATTTAAAGAGCATGGAGCCAAAGTTCGTGCAAAATCAAACAATGACGCTATATCAGTCTTCCTCACTGTTTCTCACCTTATCTCCTTCCACCACAACCCACATGCCTATCTGTCTCACTAGATTCCAGTAGACTCCATGACAAAATGGGATTTTGAAGCAAAATCTGAAGGAAGTTTACCCAAGAACAAGAAAGTTGCAATTCCTTCAAGTCTGAGGGGCAAAGGGTGAAGAAACGTCAAGAAAAGTCAGAAGTAACAGCAGCAAGACCAACTTTGCTTAAGCTGTTCCCTCCATCTGGAGTGCATTTCCCTCAACCTCTCATCACAAGGGTCATAGTTTAATGTATAGTTTAGTTATTTCTGTACATTTCTTATCCCCTCAGCATACTGAAAACAGCTTAAGGGCAAAGATCATGTCTGACTCGTCTCTGTATTCCCAACCAGTCCAGCACAAGTCACTTTTATAAATGTTTGTTGAGTAAATAAGTGAGGGAATGAATGAAAAAATTAATTTCAAGTAATGCATGAATAAATAAATGAACAGTGTTGATTACTGAGTCTCCCTACAGTTTACTACGATTTTGGATTTTATGTATAACATCCACGCAGAATTTTAAAGTATGCAAATAAAGAAAGATCATACTCTTAGGGACTACAGTGTCAGCAAAGTCTGAGAGTAGTTCTGAGAAACAAGGCTTGCAAACAACACAAACCTCTGTGGGTAAGTAAGAGAACCACATTCAGACAGCATAGCCTGGAGCTGCAAAGAGACTTCTGGGTAATAGGCATAGTAAAGGAGAAAAATAAAGTATTGTGTGTTAGGTCAAACAGTAGCATTTGAATTTATGGATAAGATTGAATAAATAAGCAAGAGGATGACATTTTTGTAGTAGGGCAACCTGTATCTGCAACAAGCTCTCCTTATAAAACCAGAGCCTCTGAAAACTAGATGGAACCATGTCCAAAATTCAGAAATGTCTAATATAAACATCAAGAGATGGAAAAGAAATACTTTTAGCACTAGGAAACTAAGAGCTTGAACTGACTGATGAAAAGGCCATGACTTGTGACTGGCGAAAGGACAGTATACCTATTCTAGCTGAGTAATATCAAATGAAACATGCTTGACCTTACAATCCTCTTCTTAATTCTGATTTCATATATTTATACAGTTCCAATCTGTTGTTAATTTAGTATTTTGACTTGGCATTCCTACTGAAAGGAGAATATATTGACAGGCCAACACACATTTCAGTCCATTTGGCAGTTGTTCCTTACTATAAATTATTAAATTGGCTTTCTGGTACAAATCCATCCCTTGTGAGTTGGGGCTGCATGAGCCAGTTTTCCTAGTGCATGATCCTACTCTGGACAAAGAAAGTTTCAGATCTGTTGAACATTAAAGCCAAACCCTGGGACAGAAAGAGAAAAAAAACCCTTTCCTGACAATTAGCTATTGTTACTACCTCCCACCATTATTTCACAGATAATACCTTAACATTGTTAAGAAGAAAGCCTGTCAGCTTACCTCATTTCCCTCATGCATGCAAGTATCCTCTCCTTCCATTGGCCCTAAAGAGGAAAGCAAAAGTAGCTCAGAAGTGACACTCAACTTAGGCAAAGAAAATTTCAACTTAGGTAAATTTTGAGTGTTAATTAAAAGTAGCAACGCTGTGGACAAACAAAAACAGTTAATAATTTAACAATAATCTTCGATTGACTTTTAGGAGAGCATCTACTAATTATTGAGTATGACTAATGGTCTAGGAATTATTATCACCTCAAAGCAAATAATAAATATCCAGTCATAAGAGTCTAAAAAATAGTACAGCTGTTCCATTTTGCCCACAGTTCTGAACTCTTATCGTCTCTCTATGTTTAGAGGGAGCTTTAGTATAACTGGTGCATTGTATATTTCCTAGGCTTAAAAAAGTTTATGAGTTGATGCTTCAGAGGCTTTTAGGTCTTCTCTAACAGTAACAGTAGATTAAGAGTGACAGCTATTGAATAAATTATTCATTTTACTATACTGTGTTTTCTAGGAGGACCATAGAGTATTACCTGATCTTAGTATTAAAAAGAACTAGATTTTTACTAAGCAATAGATTTGACTTGATTCTTATGGATACTGATAATTCTTATGGTGTCATGTGGCTCTGTTTACATGATCTGCTGAAAAACCAGGAACTAATTTATAGTCTACTGTTAGCAAGTTTGAAGAGCTTTTCATGGTGTGCTTTTTTTGATTTTCCTCTTTCATGGATCTATTCTGATGTTCTTGCCCAGTTTTTCTTTATTATTTTAAACATTATTATCCATTTATATTATCTTGCTATAGTATGCATTTTTTCAAACCACTATCAACCCTTTCTGGAACAATAGTGGAACAAAAAAGTAAAAAAACAAACAACAATAAAAAACCAAACCAGTGAACTGTGACCTGAATTCCTTCTGCATTAGAACTAGTGAATATTAATTGCTTTAGATAAACTGTCTTAGGAGTTTTTCTTATTTGATTCTGTAACCACAGAGTATTCCTGTGCTTTGTTTGGAATTAATCATTCAACAAGTACTTAAGGAGCTACTACAATGGGCAATTTTGTTGAATGCTGAGATACAAAGGTGGGATTCAAAAGCATAAAATATGTCCCCTATGCTCTAAAAGTCCATTTTAAATGACAAGTTGCTCACTCATAAAATAATTAGAAAACATATTATAGTATATGATTTGTTATTAAGTTACATGAAAATGAAGATGAGTTTACAATGGCTGAACCTGTTTGGGAAGGTTGGCTGATCTTTGCTCAATAGACAAGTTTAATTTAAGCAGTATTCCCAATGGGTGGAACGTGTCCCACTGGAGGTATGCAAGGTTATTTTTGTTGGCACAAGGAATAACTATTTAAACATTTTCAAGATATACATTTGTTTGAAGGCTTTAAAATGTAATGCAATTAGTACTTCAAATCTATGATTTTATGGAAGATATTACTTATGAGGAGGCTAAAGTAGGTTTCTAAGCTCTAAAAAGTGTGATTTAACACACACATACACAAATAAAAAGTACAGGGTAAGCAGACATAGCAAAAACTTTGGAGGAACATTTGGATGTCTGAAATTTGGCAAATACCAGCTTACATAGGAGAGAAGGCAAGGATTTCCAAAAGAGAGCAGGAATATTGCCAAGGACCTAAGAGGTCAGACAATGAGGTTCATGAACTCATCCTAAAAAAAGTGCTACATACCTCTTTGCTGAATACGGTCACGTTCGAGTGCTCCCCTTGGGAAGCTGTGTATTGATGCCAGTGCCTAGTCCACCCTTCAAAGCAATTTTGGAACTCTTTTTCTGGAATGGCCATCAGAGCTGTTGTCGTATTACCCTTGATGTCCTGAGTGTCATCAAAATATCTTCCTTTCAATATTTCCTTTATCTTCGGGTAAAGTAAGAAGTCACTGGGGGCCAGATCAGGTGAGTAGGGAGGGTGTTCCCATAGTTATTTGTTTACTGGCTAAAAACTCCCTCACAGACAGGGCCGTGTGAGCTGGTGCATTGTCTTGATGTAAGAGCCATGAATTGTTGGCGAAAAGTTCAGGTCGCTTACATCTAACTTTTTGACGCAGCCTTTTCAGCACTTCCAAATAGTAAACTTGGTTAACTGTTTTCCAGTTGGTACAAATTCATAATGAATAATCCTGATATCAAAAAAGGATGGCAACATCATTGCAACAAGTTTGCAAACTTAATTGTCAGACTCGTAAGTAAAGAGTAATTCATGTGATAGTGAGGACAAACTTTTGACTAAAGCATAGGGCATGTTAGGGAATGGGAAAAGAAGCTTGGATTGTGGAACCATACAAAGAAAATCTTAGAGTATAGAAGCCATAGGATACAGGAAGGTTCTGATGGGCTTTAAGTGGAGCTGACAGAGGGAGATGAAAATTCATTTTTTTTAGTACTCTCTATATACTGGTCATCATTTTAGACAATTTACACACATCATCTCACTTAATCCTCAGAACAATTTTATGAAGTAAGGACTAATATTATCCCCTATCTTATCCATGAGTGAATTGAAGCACAGAGAGGTTAATCAACTTCTTTAAGATCTTACAACAAGTAGGAGTGGCAAGATTCAAACCCAAGTCTGTCAGTCTCCAAAGCCCAACATTTTTTCCACCACTTCCTAAAAGATTGTTGTGACAAAGGTGCACAGAATAGACTGGAGAAGGGGGAGACACAGGAGGTGGAAAGCTCTATTGGATTAGATCAATAATTTAAATTTAAGGTAATAAGAGCATGGATTAGGGCAGTGACCGTAAGAGTGAAGACAGAAGGTAATTTCAAAGGAATTGTTTTTCTCAAAAGAACACATAAAACTGTAATCAGTAACATGAAAGAGGAAATGAATCTTCATGAGTAGAACTAAACCAGTATCTAGGGCTTTAATTTTTGCATATTTTTCATTAAAACTTTTTTGAGTCATATACTGAAGTGTCTTTCTTCAACGAAAAAAAAGCCTTTGTAGGTGGAAGAAGGGTTCATTTTATTCTGAACACCAGAGGTTTTTTTTTTAGCTGATCCATCCTGCCACCTGTTGGCAGCTCAGCAGCAACTCAGCTAGGGCCAGGACTCGAACCGCTGTTGCTCCGAGCTCGCATCGAACCACTGTTGCTCAGAGCTCATACTCTTGAGCGAGCTCTTAACCAACTGAGCCACTCAGCTGGCCCTCCAGAAGTTTGTTTTGAAGACAGATATTAGCACAGGGCAACTTCTTAAGACCCCCTGTGAGGAACCTGCAGTCCTGAAAAGGGAAATGGTTAGTCTCACAGGATGCAAACTTTCAAAGAAAGGTATTTCAGAGAATTTCTATAAAAAGAGTTATCCTTCAGC